AAAATTGATTTATGAAACTTTCCAATAGTTTGGTGGATTTCATTTTAAAAATTAAACCCATGAAAATTCTCCAATAGTTTGGTGGAATTCATGAAATTATTTTATAAGGATTTTTATTTGAAAAAGATTTTTTATAAAATTATTTTTTTTTTTTTTTTAAAACTCATTTATTTTCAGAAATAAAATGGCAAAAATAAATTTTTTTAAAAATAAAACAAAAAATTAATAAAAAATTAAAAATAAAATGAGTTAAAAAATAAAATCAAAAAAATAAAAATAAAATGAAAAAAAAAAAACCTGTGATTGGGTTAGGTCGGTACCAAGGTCAACGCGTGGATCATTATCAAGTCACTTGTGGGTCAGGCCTTCCAAAACACTGTCATTCTAAAACGATATAAAAGGCAATCCTTAGCGTTTTTGCTTCAAAAATCCCAAAGTCTCTCTCTAAGCCAAAAACTTGTACCTTCTCTCTGAAACCCAATTAAGAACACCATCGAAAACTTCAACCAAAAATTGGGTAACCTGCTGATTTTTGAAAAATCACCGAAAAGTTCAATCGAAAACTAAAAAATCACCGATTTTTGGAAAAGCCACTGGAATCCCACTGAAAAATTCAACTTCATCGAAAAATTCCACCAAAAAATTCAAATATTCTTCTCAAACCCAGAAAAACCTAGAAAAATCCAAGAAAAACCCAAAAAAGCTTGAAAAATCCTCAAACCTTCCTAGAAAGCTCCAAAAATTTCCAAAACCTCATCATAAACTCTAGAAATGAAAATGCCAATCCATAAACTTTAAATCAAACCCCAAAAATCCAGAATTAAAATTCCCTAATATTCCCACTATCTAGAATTTTTCAGACCTTTCTCTTTAGAACTCTTTATGTATGTCCATCCTCTGTAGAGCTATCTCAATTATAGGCAACTTAAGATCCAATTTTTGAAAATGGACAGAATCAATCCCAAGCTTGAATTTTGGAATTGAGTTCTATCCAACGTGATTTTAGGTTCCTAAATTTCAACATTCACATTAATATTAATTTGCATTAACTTTGACTGAACTGGTAAGATTCTAATTTTAGATTTCCTTGTTCTCGTGCGAATTGGAGCTAGAAGGAAAGTAAAAAAGAAAGAAAAAGAAACGAAAATAAAAAAAATAATAACATAATAATAATAATAATAATAATAATAATAATAATAATATAATATAATATTAGTAACAGTGATAGTAATATGGTATAATAGAGTAATAATTATACTATATAATAATGCTAATAGTATAGTATCATGATATGCACAAGGAAAATTGGTTTTGATTAGCCCTAAACACATTTGATATAAAATCTTACCAAACGATTTGAGTATTTTATTATTTGCTTTTAAAAAATAATTTCTTAGAAAAATATGTCTATAAATCTAATAACGGAACCTTTTTAGTGAGGGACACGAGTTTTTATAAATACTCATAAGGTGAGAAAATTATTTTAAATCACTATAAAATGATTGGAGTAATTTTGAGATTAATTTTTAATAATTAAATTTACTTGGTAAAAATTCAAAAATATTTTTAGGCTTAGATAATATGAAATCAAACTAGTATCATTATTTGATGGGCATTGTGAGGGTGTTATAATTTTTCTCACATATAACTATACCCAAAATCTAGTCTTGGTTTCATAGATATAAAATCTATTTTTTAAAGATACTTAAGTTAAACTTGATATTTCTCTTTAAAAAAGAAACATATTCACTTAGGTGATCAATCACACCTTAAAAAAAGATTAATACTGACTCCTAAAATTAGATCTAACTATAAGTCTACGAATTTATATGTTATGACAAACTTTATTTCATGAAATCATTGTTAATATGCTTCCATTCGTTTTCCTCATTCGAATCATTGTATAGTTAGTTTAAAGTTCAAGACTTTTTTCTATTAGAGGAAAAAAGATTAAAATTAAAACAGGAAGGATAATAGTATTTCAAATAATACCCATATGTGTTAGTTCAATTGGTAAATAGAATTTTTTTTTTTGTTAATTAGGGTCTAAATTTTGTGGGAGTACTTTGATAGTAACTTCGTAAATGTATCAAGACAATATGAAAGAATATATTTTCAAAATTATTCGACAGAAGAATTAGGTCTGAACAAAATATGAACCAAGACAATGTAAAGGAATGTGCCTTTAAAATTATCCGAGAAAAAAATTAGGTCTGGACAAATATGAACACATCTATTTATAAAAAATTCAAACAATTAGTGTTGTACAGACTAATTTCCTCATTTTTTTTTATATATAAAAAAGCTTATAAAATCTTGACGGTTCTAGCTTCGTTATTGTCTATTAAATCGACTGACTTTTGCTTTTGATAGAAGCTAAAGCTAATTAGGATTATTTTACATAGCTAGGTTTTCTCTTAATTTTTTCTCAGACAAAAAGAGAGATGGCAGAGAGCGTAGCCTAAGAAAAAAATGATTTTACCCTTGAAGTGAACTTTCCAAAGTCAATGTTATATGGTAGTATATATATTTAGCTGATTTCATGGATAAAGAAGTCAAAAAGTTACAAAAACTTTTTACACTTCTTATCATTTGAGTTCGGAGTATGAAACTATGAAATTCATAGCTTTTATTTACTTATTATGCTTAGTTTGGATGATCGGTGGAAAGATTTTTTTTTTAAATTTTTGTTTGAGATATTTTAGTGTTTAGTAATTATTTATGATTTCGAATAATTTAAAGTCAAATCAAATCGAACCTTATAAAAAAATAAATTCTTTTAGTATTTATTTTATTCATTTATAATATTTAAAATCGAAACTTTACTTAAGAAGAATCGAACTCTTTAATCATTCAGATTAATAGATATTGATGATTTTTTATTATATTATCATGCTATTTTATTATTGTAAGGTCAATAACAAAATATCGTGATGACATTTAAATAAAATATAGTCAATTATGAAATGGATAGTATATATATGATATGGATTTTTTTAAAAAAAATTTAGTGTAAATTATAACAAGATTAATATTCAAATTTTAGTGCAATCATTAATTTTATCAACTAAATTAATTGATATGTTTATTCTTAAGATCTTATTAGGTGGGTGTAATTATCCTCAATTATATTCAATATTTCTAAGTTTCAAACTTTAACTTAAAATTTATTGAAAAAGAAAACAATCATTGCTTGTAGCAAACATATTCATTTAATTTTCCTAGATCAATGGTACCTAATACATCATTTATCAACTGTCGTATTTATTTGCATGAAGAAACATAAATTTATGACTAAATTTTACTTTATCTATTTTTTAGATGTCTCAGAATTGTCTTTTTACTTTCTTGAATATTTAAAAATTTTATTTTATTATATTTTAAAATTATTTTTTTAGTTTTTTAACTTTTTAATATTAAAAATTATAATATATAAATTTTAAAAAATTTTTACATTAAAAATATTAAAATTAATTTTTTCTAAAACTTTGCGAAAGTAAAAAATACTTACAATCTTTTTGATAGTAAAAAATATTTATCATGAATTAATGATTACTTAATCTTGTGTCAAAAAGCACCTTTACTGTTATAACTTGAAAAATTAGAACTTAAAAAAAATTTAAGTTCAAATTATGATACAAGCTAATCGGTTGGAATTTATGTACGAGATGAAACAAAGTTATCTCTTTTGTTTACATCACTAAACTAATATATACCAAGCAAAATCATGATTCATTGAACTTTGATAATGATGTACATGCATCTAGATTTTACTCACCGCTCCATTCACAAACAAAAAATAAAAATTTTTTTATTATTATTATTTTATTTTGGAAGTTGTTATCGTAGTATCTTTATGAGATATGGTTTGAAAAATGTCAAACTATGAATCATTGTCATGTGAAAATACACACAAATTCGTTATGAAGTTTGGACATATATAAATCTTCAACATTACTTTCCCATCGGCCGATATCTTTATGTATATTATAGATGTGATTAGTTGAAAAAATGTAATTTTTTTAATTTTTAAATCAGATTAGATTAAATCTTAACGCAGAAGTGGATCGAAGTTATCAAATATAGTGTTTATGGACACTAAAAATTAAAAATTAAAAATTTTTTTCTTGAACATCTTAAATTTTTTAAATTTCTTTTGTAATTGATAAAATTAATAAATTTATTAATAATTTTTTATACATATTATAAATAAAAAAAATTCATGGATCCACTGCTAATCTAACACTCAAATATAAAAATACCCCTTTTGTATAACAAAAGTCCAAAATTTATGCTGTTAAAAATTTTTTTTGTCATAGAAATGAAAAAAAAAAAAAGCATATATATATTTTTTCCCAATTTTGCTTTGAAGGAATTGACTTGTGATCGGATAGATGCCTCCAGCTTATTGCCGTAGACAAATTGAAAGAGCAAAGTAATTGAAAATTTTGACAAATGATTTTTTTTTTCAAAAAAAAAAAGGGCAAATCTTAAGATTAATTATGAAAAAGAAATTTTATTTTCACAGAAAGGACCGATAGTGATGGTGGCCATGTGCGCCAATGCGGCGGATTTTAGACCGTTAACCGCCGTCAACTCCGTCTAATCCAAAGCCGCGTAAAAGTGGGTCCCTTTTTATCTTTCCCAGCCCATCAAGGCATCGACCATTCCCTGCCAACCAATTTATTATTAAAAAATTTTTCTTTCATTTCGAATTTTAATTTTTTCATTTTTATAAAGTTAGAAAGTGGTAATTTTAAATAAAAACATAATAATATAATAAAAAATAAAAAAGTGATAGTTTAAAATTTTAAAAAATTATAATAAATTTAATAAAAATAAATAAAATATTTTTATTTTTATGAATTAAAATAATTATGACATGATAATTTTAATATTATATATATTTAATATGAAAAATTACTATACAAATACAGGAATTAATTGACAGAACTACTAAATCTCAAAATTTTTTTTATTTAATTATGTTAACATGGAATAATATAAAAGCTTCACTTGCCGGACTTTCATGGAGCTTTCTGATATTAAGCTATCAAGCTTATGAAAAGCTACTTAGTAAGCTTCCTGATAGAAAAACAGCTGGTTTTTTTTATAGGAAGTGATACATTCCCAGGAAACAGCTGGTTTTTAATGGGAAGTGATACATTCCCAGCTTCAGATACATTGAAAATTTACAACCTTTTTTTTTTTTCCTTCTAAACTGGTGGGGTCCTTTAAATTTTCTCTGTAAATGACAGCCTAATCAACAGCCTGGAAAAGTTGGGTATATGCAGAAGCAGCTGCTACACTTTAAAAAAAGGCTCTTTCTTTTCTTGGTGACATTCATGTATCTCGACTGGGTTTTTGTCTTTGAGAATCCAAAAAACCTTAAACTCAAAACCCATTTCAGGGAATTGTTGGCTGTTTCCTATTTTGGCTTCATTGTAAGGTAAGGGCACTGATAAAGTTTCGATCTTTGAAGTAAAGTTTATGTAATTTTGCATTGCATTTGTAATGTTTTAGATTGTAGTTGGATTAGCATTGGGGCTAGTTAGATCTGAGATTAGAAAGATATGAACTTTGGGGGTTGAATTATTGGATATTAAGGAGTTTTTTGAGGTTGACTTTTTTGGAGTTCTACGGGATTTTGGGGTTTCTTTAGATCTTAGTTTACTGGGAGTTAAACGTTGTTTTGAGGCTTTTTTTTTTTGGTTAATGGTTTGTTCGGTTGGGAACTTGGATTATTGTTAGGCATTTGAGTTATTGAAAAGGTTGAAGATGAAAGTGGGGAATTGGGTGGCTTTGGTTTTAGCTGTTGTTTTGTTTGAGTTTTTGGGTTATAGAATACAGGCCTCATTCACTCCCGCTGATAACTACTTGATTGTTTGTGGTTCTTCACAAAATGTCACATTCCAAGGTAGAACTTTTGTTCCTGATTCGGGCCATTCTTCTCCTTCTTTGAATAGTGGAAGTTCTTTTGTTGCTAGTTCTAATGCTAGTGTTCCATCTTCAATATATCAATCGGCTCGAATTTTCTCTGGCATTGCTTCTTACAAGTTTGACGTCAAGCAAGAAGGTCGGCATTGGATCCGGCTCTACTTTTATCCTCTTCCTAAATCAGGCCAGAACTTGAAATCTGCTCCATTAACAGTCGTCACTGATGATTTTGTGCTCTTGAACAACTTCACTTTCAAGAACTATAATGGTTCTTTTTTGTTCAAGGAGTATGCAATCAATGTGACTTCCGATACCTTGACCCTTACCTTCATCCCTTCAAATAATTCAGTTTCGTTTGTTAATGCAATCGAAGTTGTCTCCATTCCAGATGCAGTCCTGCCTGACCAGGCATTAGGTCTGAATCCATCTGCTCCTATTAGTGGTCTTTCAGAATTTGCCATGGAAACTGTTTATCGGTTAAACATGGGGGGGCCAATGATCACTGCTCAGAATGATACCCTTGGAAGAACATGGGAGAATGATGTAACATATCTCCATGTAAACAGTTCTGCTGTGAATGTTTCAGTCAATCCTGCTTCTATAAAATATACAACTTCTGTTTCTATGGAAACAGCACCAAATTGGGTCTATGCCACCGCTGAAGCCATGGGAGATGCAAATGTACCCAGCATGAACTTCAATGTAAGTTGGGTCTTCCCTGTTGATCCAAACTTCAAGTATCTTGTTCGGGCGCATTTTTGTGATATCTTGAGTCAGTCTCTCAACACTTTGGTTTTCAATCTATACATAAATGATGATATTGCTGTTCCAAGTCTTGACCTGTCAACATTGACTGGTAAGCTAAAGGTGCCTTATTATAAGGACTTTATCTCGAATTCTTCAGTGGAATCCAATACTTTGACTGTCAGTATTGGTCCAGATTCAGTGGCAGACATGACTAATGCCACAATGAATGGACTGGAGATTATGAAAATCAACAATGATGCTAGAAGCTTGGATGGGTTTTCTTCTGTTAAGAATCTCCTTCCGAAATCATCCTCAAAGAAGAACAAGACAGGGATAATAATTGGTTGTCTTGTAGGAGCTGTAGCTGCAGTGGCATTGATTGGGTTCTGCTATTGTTACCTGGCAGCACGAAAGTCAAAAACTACTCATCAAGGACATCCATGGTTGCGTTTGCCCTTATATGGAAACTCTCAGACAATGACCAAAATTTCCACAACATCACGGAAGAGTGGAACAGCAAGCTGCATCTCATTGGCTTCCTCCAATCTCGGCCGGTTCTTCTCTTTCCAAGAAATCCTTGATGCTACCAACAAATTTGATGAGAGCCTACTTCTTGGAGTTGGTGGTTTTGGAAGGGTCTACAAGGGAACACTTGAAGATGGGACTAAAGTTGCTGTCAAAAGAGGTAACCCCAGATCTGAACAAGGTCTTGCTGAATTCCGCACTGAAATTGAAATGTTATCAAATCTTCGCCACAGACACCTTGTCTCTCTTATTGGTTACTGTGACGAAAGATTGGAAATGGTTCTTGTATATGAGTATATGGCTAATGGACCCCTTAGAAGCCATCTTTATGGAACAAATCTACCACCTTTATCATGGAAGCAACGACTTGAAATATGCATTGGGGCTGCTAGGGGACTTCATTATCTCCACACTGGTGCAGCCCAAAGCATTATTCACCGAGATGTGAAGACAACAAACATTCTCTTGGATGAGAATTTTGTAGCCAAAGTAGCAGATTTTGGTCTCTCAAAAACTGGTCCAGCCTTAGATCAGACCCATGTGAGCACTGCTGTTAAGGGTAGCTTCGGTTACCTTGATCCTGAGTATTTCAGAAGGCAGCAACTCACAGAGAAGTCAGATGTGTATTCATTCGGGGTGGTTCTGATGGAAGTTCTCTGTGCTAGGCCAGCTTTAAATCCCGTTCTCCCAAGAGAACAAGTTAATATTGCAGAATGGGCAATGACCTGGCAGAAGAAAGGTATGTTGGATCAAATCATGGATTCTAATCTAGTGGGGAAAGTGAATCCAGCTTCTCTTAAGAAGTATGGAGAGACAGCTGAGAATTGCCTGGCTGAGCACGGCATTGACAGGCCATCAATGGGAGATGTTTTATGGAACCTTGAGTATGCCCTTCAGCTGGAAGAGACCTCATCAGCACTAATGGAACCTGATGATAACAGTACAAACCATATCCCGGCCATTCAGTTGACAGCACTTGAGCCATTTGATAACAGTTTAAGCATGATCGATGGAGGGAATTCTGGCACCGATGATGATGCTGAAGATGGTGCTACTAGTGCAGTATTTTCACAACTAGTAAATCCTCGTGGAAGATAAATGACAATTGGTCCTGCCTTGTCCTGATTTAGCCGATGGACATCCTGAAAATTCAGTTGTCCTAGCCCTAAGAATACTTGGAAACATCCCAAGAGATTGAAAGAAAGTTTTTCCTTATAACATTATTCTGTTCTTTTTCCTCAAATTTTCTTTCATAATATATTTAGTTTGTAATATAGTTGAGTGATGGCTACCAATCAATCCATCAGAAAATTGCATGTAACGTACCATAAACATTCCATTATTGTTGATTTAATTCATCTGGGTTCAAGATGCCCCTGTTATTATTGCACAGTTACCAGATTAAGGAATATCCTATTTGTCTTTTGTTCACTGTACGAGTTTAGAATTTTAAGGCATCATTTACTATTTCAGCAGTTTAACTGACTTGCAATGTTGGAAATCCATTATCTTTATATGCGATTTCAAGTTATGGTTATCCATAGACTGTTCCTGGAATATCTGTAAGTTGTCAGAAGCCATAACCAGAAAATTTATGAACTAGAAAGGAAAAAAGTTTCTTCTGACACCCACCAAGATATATTGGCATTTTCCTTGCTAATTCAGTACATGTAGGAAAATCGAAACATATGTTCATATCTGGTTAATTTTGCATGAGTGGTACCATGAATAACAGTGTTACTCTGGCCAATATGATTATTTGGTGCCTTTTCAAAATAGCCAACAGATTTGTCAATAGAGTGCTAGACTTTTTAGTTTCAGGTTCCAGAGTTGTTTGATGAACTGCCAAACTAGATTTACTGAAGGGAAAGAAACAAAATAAACAGAAAGCTAGAACATCCAAAACTCGGAATTTCATCATTGCTTAGAGGAACAAATAATCAACATTCCTTAAACTGCTAGCCAACCTGTCATTATTATTTCTTAAGAACAAGACTTATTTTCTGATTATCTGAAAGCCCATGATTATCTCCTACAAACTATTCCATTCCCACTAGAGGCTCCACTGGTACAGTTAAGCGTGCCAAAGTCCATCAGCAATGAATCTGTTTGTTCTAGAACTCCAGCCGGAGAGAATATACAGGAATAACAATCTGCAGTGAGAAGTGATGAGGTCCTATATTTGTCTTCCTCTCCCAGTACTGGCGTTGCCATGCCTGGCTTTGCAGGGTTCGCGAAATCCTGCTGATAAGTCCTGCCAAGTACTCCTTCAACTTTAGAAGATAAACCATAGAATTTGAATTGCACCTACAAGTGAGCAAAACAATCATCAGAAGATATTTGGTAGTTATGGATCTTATTGTCTTCCTTGGTCACTGGCACCACATTGACTGAAATCTCAGCAATATCTGGTAGAGTCACTAAGACACTATTCTTTTCAGAAGTTCTCTCTAATGTAAGGTCACTTTCTGGGGATTGCCATGAAGATAGATGGCCTTCTGGTATGACAATATCTTTCCCGTTGTATATGTTTGTCCTCAAGAGAGAAGGTTTGAGTACCAAAGAGGACGCCAACTGCTTGTATCCAAGTATAATCCCGGCTTCTACCTGTTGGCCTGAGGCCAATGAACCTGGCATTGATTTGCAGGTTGAGATCTGATACCAAGCTGAATTGCTCGTTGCTCTTCCCATGGAAGTAGAACACAATGCCATCTCCACCAATGAATCTGGGGTCCAAGCATGCTGCTCCTGGGGCATTGCAGTTTGGCTTCTTATCTATCACCAAATAAAACATTGTAAAAACTTACAAACCTCATTAAAATAAGTTTATCATGAAAGATTAATGGTTGTAGTTCTAACTTTTGCATTCAGCCTTGCATATGGGGGAATCACAATTAGCATAGCAAATTTTGGCTTTTGGATGTGATGGCTTTGATAATGGGCATTGAGCAGGGCATCTCATAATTCTGAGAAAGAAACGACTCCCGCGTGAAAAGCAAGTCTTATGTTCAGCAACATTCTTCCCATGAATCTGCGCCAGGGCTAATGATATCAAGAGCAACAGAACGATCAATGAAGAATTGTTGCTAAAGGTCTTCATTTTCTGTTAAATGGCCTAAGCTCATGAAGGTGGCCTTAAAACCCTACTTTCAGAGATTTATACTCTCTTCATAGAAATTGACAATTTGGAATAATTTATATTGTTCTACCATTTAAGTAATCCTCCAAGAATCTTACTTATTCTAGAATTTAGCAACTTCGAAGCAGGAACATGGCCTCCTTGGACTGTGTGCAGGATTGTTCATCTTGGTCAATGCTTTGGATTTCACAATAGTAATTCAAAATTTTTAGTTGATAATCTCCTATTTTGCTCTAGGATGGCTTCATTTGTTGAGTGCTAGAATCAAGTTTTTGGTCAAGCTCAGCCCCTGTGATATGGAGTAAATGCCTTTTTAAAGGGTTTTCAGGGTTATCACGTTGGAAAGTAAGTGCAATTGCTTGTATTGCACCTGAAACAATGACTAGGAAAATGATAAAATTTAAGCTACTTCTTTCGATCTCCATAATTCAATACTCTTTGATGTTAGAAGAAGGAAACCAGGTTCGGTTGTTAACTGCTGCAAGAATTCCTGCTTTCTTAGGCTGCAATTATAGAATTCCAATAATAACAAACCCCTTCTCATCTCTGTATTATTCTTTTTTCATTTTTCACTGTCTTTTTTTTTTTTTTAACTTGTGATTCAATCTAATATTATATGTTATCCTAATAGGCTAATATCCATAACATATGAAGCATGAACATGGCTAGCCTAAGGATACAAAGAACTTACATATTAATCTTGTATAAACTTGAGCTTCTACAATTAGAGCTTTATTGTAACAGATTTTTCATGAGAAGTAGTTTTTGGCCACGTGCTATGCACGTGATAGTCAATTAAAATATAATATAACAATAATTTAATTTTAATATTTGTAATTATGATGATAAATAAAATTTAAAATTCAAAAAATATATATAAAAAAACTCAATAAGAAGTTGTATAAAAAATAAACATCTAATCTTTCTCTATTTTGATCTTTCTATTGAGAAACTTTTTCTTGAAGTCTTTTAGTGTAAGGTTATCGTTTACATCTTTATCTTTCTTTAGAGAATCATCTTCTATTATAATCAAACTAGATTGAAACATTTTCCTTCTTTTCTACCTTTAGCTTTTCACAAGCTTTCCTTTTATTTTCTTTGTTGGTAAATCTATATCTTCAATTTTATGTATTTTGAAGCAATCAATCATTGTTTAACTTGTTCAAGCTCTTATTTTTGATCTATTTACACTGAAAATTTAAATTCCTCATTGAGACTTGAAACTAGATTTTTGTAATAATCAGGCTCTCCTCTATACTTTGTTGCTTCCTGCAATTAAATAATAATAATGTTATAAACAATATTTCACATTATATTAAATTAAATTACATTTATGTAAATAATAATTCATTAGCTTATCATTCAAGTAGTTGAGATATTTTGAAATTTCACAACCAATGAGAGTTTTGTTGCTTGAAATAAAGCGAGTATAATACTTTCCTTTTCATCACTGATCTCCATTTTTAACATGTATCTATTAACATGATATAAGTTAGTTTGAAATTCATTTGATTAGAATAAAAAATGCATACTTATTTTATGCATATAACATGCTATTATAATGAAATTTCTTACCTCCGTCCAAATTTTGTAGTGAATTTTCTGCATTTTTTGCACCATGCTTGGTTGATGTCTTCATCAATTTCTACTTCCCCTTGCATTCTTTACAAGCATCATACCAAGGTTTTTCTTTATTGGTAATATTCATTATAGTTGCTTTGAATGAATATACTATATTCTACAAAATTAAAGAAAATTAATTTTTTTATAATATTTCAAAAATAATAATTTAATAGAAATGAATATTATAAATCTTTGTACTTGCAAATGAAGGATCAATGATTTGTTCCAAAGAGACTTCCAATTCTTTCATTTTTCTCTCGGGCATTGAGTATGATATCACATTGTAACTTTTGTAATCAGATATCCTAATAAATTAATTAATTAATATTTTTATTAATTAATATAAAATAACTTTAATTTCTAGAATATTTGAACGCAATGTATTTAAAGAAAATAAAGAACTTACCACTTTCTTAATTTCTTTGTCTTTTTTATTGTAGGATTAATAATGATGGAAGATATTGCCAATGTATTTATTGATAAACACCTGAAAAACATACAATTAGTAAATGATAAGTTTTTAAAAAATAAACTATTTGAAAATTTGACCAAGTTTATAAATAGTAAATAATAAGTTTAAAAATTTAAGAAATATTAAAAATTTAAGCAAGTTTTAGTCAAGATAAAATATAATTTTAAAATATATCAATTACCTTAATATGTATTTCCTTGCACATTTAATAATGCAATAATTGGTCTTTCTTCTTTCATGTCTTCAAGTAATTGACCCTCAAATTCAGCCAAACTTCCTTAAAATAGTACTTCAATGGATTTCATCTTGCAATTATATATATATATATAATGTTCTTTATTAAATAAGTTTAAAATGATGAAAATATATAAAAATAACTATAGTATAATATATACTTGCTTATCATTCATTATTGTTATTTGATGCCTGGCATTGCATCCCATAAAACAAGATTTGACTTTAATAACAAAACCCAATGTGTCTGTAATTAACATATGTTAATGTTAATAAATAAATTAAACATATATTTATTTTAATAAAATTCATATAAAATGAAGCAAACTTACCAAATATTTCTCTTTTTGAGATTTCCATCACTTTATCCATTGAATGATAATCAAGCAACATTTTTTCTAAACTTATAGAAGTTTTTGCTTCTCTTATGTTGGTATAAGATATAATTGTTAACTCAATCTCTTTGTTAACATTAAAATATTCTTTCTTAATAGATTTGACAAATGCATTTGATATGATATATGATTTGTCTTTCATTAAAGAGAATTGAAATTTTGTTATTGTCTCACTAAACATCACAACTAAAATTTTTGTTCACTGCAGTTCATAAATAAGATTAAATTCATAATTTATACTAAAATATTCAAATGTTATATCAAAATTATATTAAAAAAGGACTAAGGATTTTTACCTCTTCATCAATAAAGATCAACTTTAAAAGCTTTCCTGATTCTTGTGCATTATTATACACCTCTATATTTCCTTTTCTAAGTACTTAAACTTTTATCATCCATTGCTTGTTTTTCACATTCAATTGATTTATATTTGAATTGAGTAGCCATTATATTTGCACTATAAGGAATAATAATGAATTCATAGCAAATTTTAATTATTTTTCTCATTGGTTAATTGCAAATAGTAAAGACCACAACAAGCTAAGACATAGGAAAAAAATAAAACAAAAACAAAAGGGAAAAACTGGAAACCTGATAAAGAAAAAAAAAATAGCTCATTTCTCTTAATTTGAATAGTGCATTAACTAATACCAAACATCTTAATAGAATACCTAAGCCTCATAATGAGTCATCCGTGCAATGCAATAGACCGACACAAACAAAATTTTTGGTAATAGCTGTGAGTATTGACAACCTAGATTTAGCTGGACTTTGATGATTACCTGTCATTAACATGATGGAAAAATGAATTCTTTTATTAATCCAAAAGGGCAGAAACCTTGAACTTTCTTGCTGCTCAAATTTACTAATTAGCTAAGCAAAATATATTAGATGATTGGATCTAATCTTTTTGCCTTTAACAATTTCACAATCAAAGCCAAATCCACAAGTTGGGTAGTCACTGAAATCAACAGAGAAATCAGCAGAACCTAACCCAACTGAGAATTCAAGCTCATCATCACGGATCACAAACTTGATGTTGAGCCACAGCAAGAGGA